AATTAGTTTGTCATTGTTTAAGTGGAAGTTAAACATTGAATTGAATACAATCCACCAAACTTCCATGGTTGAGTTAAATAAGCTTATGTAGAGGAAGTATGCCAGCCAGGCAGATGATGTGTGAATGTCATATACTTTACCTAACCATTTTATAACATACTTATAAAACTGACAAAAAAAGCAAAATCTTGCTTCATGAGATATTGAGGAGTTGGGATTCAGACCCCAAGTAACGGAATATTTAATCCTCTAATGAAAGTAATGATAAAAAGATTAAGAGCTTTAACAGTTTTATTAAAAAAAAAAAATTATTTTACCTTGGCAGCAAGTTGACAATTTCTTTTCTAAATAAGTTTTCCTTCACAAAAGGAACAAGGAATGGATTAAAAACTTGTTCAATTCCATCCCGATTGAAGTTCTTGTCTATAATGTGATGAAACAAAGTGCTTCAGTTTTGAATGCATCATTTCAAATTGGTTTACATATCTACACACAGTTTGTCCACTTTGTAGCAATGGATAATGTCAGTTTATATCCTACTAAATGCTTTTAATAGCAATTCCATAATTTTAATTTTTTATCCATAGCCAGTTATGCAGATCTTCAGTTATTGTAGTGATATGAGATTTATTTTGCATCACAAGTTATGGTGCACTATAAAAAGGGATTAGTCTTGTAGATCATATTTTGTTTCTAATTCAAATGGAACCTAAATATGTTTCTTATTAATTGCTCTTAATTGACTTTGAATCTAATCAATAGTTTATTGTAAGTTCTAAGATTTCTCAAAAGAAAGAAAAAAAAAAAAAAAGAAAAAAAAAAAAGTCAATTGCCATTATAGTTTCTGGGTTTTGCTAACTTCTCTTCTCATTTCTAAACTGAAATCTTAGCTGTTCATTAACAAATGAAGAATTTATATTCTTTACAGTGTTAACTATTGTACTTTAACTACTGCAAGTATCAATCTTAAATTGAAAAATTATTTGTACTTGCCTTAAAAATGTATTAAAATTTATTAGATAATATTTTTTTTGTTATTGAATAATCAACAATTATAAATAAAATATCAAACTCAAGACAAAAAGGTCAATTTCATGTTGAGCAACAATAAAATACCTTCCAATACTCATTCTCATCCAAAATCAATACATTATGAGTTTAGATATGCTGTTAAAAATGATGGCATATATAAAACTGATATTTTATTAAAGTTGTACTACTATTGCATTTTCAAATATGAGTGAATCATTTCATCTCAAATCAATGAATGTTTTGTTGTAATAGTTATTTCTCGTTAACAAGCAATGCCAAATGTCAATGCCTTTATGACAATGACTAACATTTCCAAAGTATTTATGAAGCCTAGCACCATGAAAGAACAGAATACTACAATAACAATTGACGAAAATACTTGGGTAATTCCATCTCAAAATCAACCAAATGGTCACAGGCGTTCCTTGATTTGTTGTTAAATCCCAGATATCAAATTTGTATCTTAATAGTTTCAAAATCAGAACATCTTGAAATAAGAAATATTTACATTTCCTTCAAAAATATCCTTAATGTGATTTTTTTTTTCCTTATTGATTTATGTATATTTTTGAATATCATTAAAACTGCTTAACACGAACAAAATTTTCACTATTTTGACAATGTATTTAAAATTAAAATAATCTAGAGGCATACTTGTTTTAATGTCCTTGATTAAGTTCCTTTGTTTGGTTGTAGAGAAAAAAAAACAAAAAAAACAAACATTTTAAGAGTCTAAGCTATTTTGAACAAAGGGGAAATGAAACCAGAAATAGTTCATTTGCATAATGAATGATAAAACCAACTTTCACCTTCATAAGTATCAAATATAAAGGTGTCAAAGTCAACAAAACTATGATTTTGGCATGGCAAGTTGTTCTAGAAAAATAAGTTTTAAACCTAGTTTTAAACCTAGACAGAAGTTTGTACACAAAATGAAACTTCTGTCACATGATCTTCAGACATGTAAGAATACTTGGTAAAAATATAAAGTTTTTCTTAAACTTCAAAATTGATCTGCTGATGTTATGAAAACTTTTAAGGATTAGAAAAAAAAAAAAAAAAAAAAAAAAAAAAAAGTAATACTGACATTCCTACAGCAGGAATGAATATGGTTACTGCATAGAAATAATCTATTATGTCATAAATGATAGGGAAACTAATTTAGATGTTGTAACTAGCATACTTTAACTTTGCAAATGAGAAGCTCTCAAAAGCAGATAGTCTTCTTTCATTGACATTTCAGCCATTTTCAGGTCCTTAAAAGTAAGACTCCTAAACTGTTTTATTGTAAATGTAATCTATAATAAAAATTAAGTATTTTCACAAAGTTTCAAATCTAAATACATGAAATATCCCCAGAGCTATGAAGGAAATAATTTTGTTAAAAGCTTTTAGAAAAAAATAAATACAGTGAAATTTCAATATGCTCTAATTTTAAAACTAAAAGATACAGATCTAATATTCAGGATTTATCAATAAATTAATCAAGGAACAGCTGTGGAATTTCTCAGATTTTTCTTAGAGGGTCACCTGTGACCGTTGGCTGATTCGAGATGAGTATTCCCCAATTATTATTGCAGTATTCTGTTCTTTCAGGGTGTCATACTTCACCTCCAGGCTTCGTAAACATTTTTGAAGTGTTCATCATTACATTGTCAAAGACACTGCCACCTAGAGCCGTTTGTTAATGCTAAATACAACAAACAAAAAGAAAATATACAAATAATTGTAGCGTATCATGACCATTTCGGAACCAGTGCAGACTTGGCTGAACAGAAGCGAGGTGAAATTAATTTGTTGAGAAGTTGAGACAAGTTTTCCTTGAAACATTATCAACAAAAAGTGAACCAAACTAATTGCTAAACTACGTTCAAAATGTTATTGAACATGTAGAACATGAAGTGCCTTTTATGAGCTTTGTAATTGAAATCGATTCCATTTATGATTTTATTTAAATCATATCCTCATCTTTGTTACATAGATATTTTGACCCGTATAGTCAGGACGATCTCAGATAAATATTCTGTTAATTTTCAGAGATTCGATTCGAATTTCTTTTAGAATAGATAGAAAAAAAAATCTATTCGGGACACATTTGATTGTTGAAAGTGTATGAGGCTGTTTCGGTGTTACGAATGAAAAATTCTGTTTAGCGCTCCTAATAAAAAGAAAAAATGTAACATTGTAACTCATGAGACTCACGAGAGAATACATGCCAACTGAATTGTTACTGAAACTACCGTTCAATTCAAACATCTTACCCTCACATTCATATGGTTCTAATTGTTTTTTTTCTCTTTTAACGTTGGTTAAAAAAAAAAAAAAAAAAATTAGAGTTAAACATAATTTAGCTATTCTAGGTTTGTTCGGACAAATGAATGAGTCAATGGGTTCACAAACATTTCGGTTGATCTATTCTACAGCCTTCTTTCTACTGGCCATCACTGGTAAAAATTTTCAACAAATTAAAATTTAAATAGGAAATTATTCTTGGATAGATCAAGATGAAATAGTCTATCAGATCAGAAGTAATAATCAACAAAAAAGTAAAAAAAAGTACAATGTAACAATGGAATGGTTTCAAACGATATGCAATGAAATAAAAATAAAATAAAATATGGTAGACAGTGAGTAACACGGTTAATTTGTTGTAGTAAAAGATACGGTTATGTAAAAAAAAAAAAAGTCGAGAATTTTTTTTGAAAATAGACAAGAAAATGAATTTAAGTAGTAGCACGAATTAATTGATTAAAAAAATTATAGTTATTTTTTTAAAGTCATATGGTAAGGAATACATATGTATAAAAAATAAATGCAGTTCAATAAGTTTAAAAAAGACAAGGCATTTTTATTGATTTACAAACTTAAAAATAGCAAAATAAACAACGTCACTGTGTAGTGTATGTGGATGATAAGATGAACAAAAAAGCTTCAATACGCATTTAAATTAAATAAGGTTAAAAAAAGATAGACCTCAAGAAGCATTATTTTCTTTTAATTTTTTCTAACATATAACTTTTATTAACTTTTTTTCATGTACCCCACATTTTTGTTTGCTAAAAAAAAAAAAAATCATTGATTAGTGTTTTTAGTTTACATTACAATTATGAAATTACGTTAACAATTGTTGTCACTGAAGCCGACAGACTGTATTATTAGGAATAAAAAAAATTACTAATCGTTTGTGCCAGAAAAAAAAATTAACTCAAAAGATCATGAAGTCATTGTTGAAGCAACAATATTAACTCTGGACAAATTAAGAAACAAAGATTGCACATTACAGATTAATAAAGTTATATAAAAAAAGGCTGGCGGGGGGCATCTAGATTTGTTTACTTTTTGGGTTTTGCAATTGGTAAAAATAAAAAATAGCCTAAAGCAGTTAGATCTTAATTATAAAATACCAATTTCTTTTTTTTAACAACAGGTAAGAACAATGATGAGGACTTTGGACTAAATCTTATCACAAGTTCATCAACGAAGATGAAATATTTGTGACGCACTTTATGGGAATGTGAAGTTCCAATTTATTTGGGAATAAAAACAAAAGTACTTAAAAAATAATAAAAAAAAAACAAGTAAAATTAAAAATTTTAACGTGAAATGTTAATAATTTAAGAAAATCTTCGCCTTTTTTAAAAAGATTTAGATGAGACAAACAAAAAATATTGCTCAAAAAGCTAGACCGCAACAAAGAATAATTATTCACATGAACAGACGATTTTTTCTTCATTATCTAAAAAAACTTACACATCATTTAAAAAATAACACTAATGAAATTAAGGAAACCGTGCAAATAGTTTACTTTATAAATAATACAGAAAGCAAAGATGAAGCTTTAATTCAATGATGCCATCACAATGCTTTTTGAGAGAGAGAGAGAGGGGGAGGGGGAGGAATAAATTGTTTTATTTGTATACATATTTTTATTCGTTAAAGACCAAATAATAAAATCTTCAGCTGCTTACCTTGATTTGTTCGGCTTCAACTTGGACCATTTTCTCCCTAAAATCAACGCCGATAGTGGCTTCAGTCTTGTCGGGAAATTTTCCACTACAAAACCTGTAAGTCAGGCATGTCTTTCCGACATTTGAATCTCCAATGACAATTATCTTAAAGATTCTTTTTTGGGCTTGTTTTTCAATGACTGTTGTCAATTGGGTACCTCCTGTCGAGGTGTTGGTCGAGCTAGAACCTGGAGCCCCGTCCCCATCGCTGACAGAAGACGCGGCAACAGCAGCAGTAGAGGCCGACAGCGACGACGACGCTGTGTTGTTGGACATTGTTAACGACTCTTCGCCTCTTCTTCTCGCACCGTGTTGATTGTCGTCATCATGGCCGCTTCCAGCTGACCATTTGGCTCCTCCTCCTGTTGGCTCGATGTTCGATATAGACGAATCGGGATTCATTCCAGGAGATTCTCATGCAACAAATAAACCAGCTACCTACAATTGAGGAAAAAGAAAAGATTCTAACAATCGTATGTCTTAGTAAATAAGTACAAAGAATTACAATAACACAGAGCTAGGCCCAACAGAACTCAACTAGCTTCCATGCTTGTTTACGTACTCGTGCTGAAGGCTAATGGGAATTTTGTGAAGAAAATAAGAGATCCATAAATAATTGATTCAGAATAAACAGTTGCAGAAATTTAATCACTAAAAAGTCAATCATCTCATCTGTAGAAATAATTTCTCCAGTTTACGTAAAAACTTGTCCGGAACCCTCGCACATACGAGAAGTTGGGTAGAGGACCTAACGCCATATTGAAAAATTTCACCACGAGGTGTTGGGTCTGCGAAGTAAGAATACCTTTATACGAATCCCGTGCTTAAAACAAGCGGGGGATCACCAGTATGCCAACAAATAACCCTCTCCCACCTAAAGAATATGCACTCTTCAAAAGAATTTTGGTAAGCTTTCCTCTTTTGTTGCCAGAGTTAGTGTTTTTTCCGCGGCGACTTGCTGCTACTGCCTGTGTAAAGTTATGCTGAATCATAAGAACCATGGTCTATACGGGCCTTTCTACTTTGTTTCTTGCATCTGGCTCATTCAGAGACATGCAATTAATTTAGTTCGTTTGATTACTAGTGCAGTTGGGTTTTTACTTGCTACACCATCGGTGTCTTTGTGACGAAGTTCTCTGGATGGTGAAGAAAGTATGTCAGTATGTACCTAGCTAGATCAAGGGACGACCATTTATAAAATTCAGCCTTGATTCTCTTACTTTTGGTTAGGCATTGTCGGGAACTAGATGCTGAGAAAATAAATATAAAAAAAAAAAATAAAAACAAAAAAACGATCGCTTTAAGTCTTTCAGAATTGAAGTTATATGATACCGAGAGGACAGATATGGGAAAATTTTCTCCGGAGAAAAATTGCGAAAGCTTTTTTTTTTTTTTTTTTTTAAATTTTTTTTATTATGAAAATTTTATTCTTTTTTACAGTCAGTGGAAAGTTTTCTGAATTTACCCGAAAATGTTCGATTTGTACACATCGGTATTTTTTTTTTTTTTACCACTAAGATAGGACAAATCAGTTGCTGGTATGCAATTGTGATTTTAAACAAACTTTACCGGGGGTGTTGCGAAATATCCATAAGTGTTCTATAACTGGGGGATCAGTTTTCTATTGTATTTAAGTACTAAACTGATCCCCCGGTTGTCTATAATGAACGGCGAACCTGAAATCCAGCAGGAGGGACGATAAGAGCTGGCCTTTATACATCTTACCTAGGCTCGCCCTCTGCTTTTTGCTTGTCCTAAAATAGTCTTTTTGCAACAAAACCGGATTTATCCGTATATTGTTAAGGATAAAATCTAAAACTATTTCTCGATCAGTTTTTTAAAATTTTTTTTTTTCATATTTCCACTTAAATAAATGGAATATTTTTAAGAGAAAGTAAAATACTTCAAACGATCGAGCGTTTTCTTGAAGACGAAATGTCGGCGGTTTTATCCCCTATTTGCGCCTGTTGCTCGTCCGTTGTATTAAGTTCCGAGCTATTCCTAAACACGCACAAAAATGGAAAAAATGTCATATTTTATTTAAGATAGTTCTTTTCTGTTCTTTTGATTCCGTTTGAATACCTCACGATGGAAGAATCAGAATGTCATATTTGAGGAGGGGAAGAAGTCACATGTTTTAATATTATTATTTGCCGGTAATTTCCAAGGTCCGAATGTTAAACTTCCTATTTTGTAATTTTTTGGTTCCTTTTATTGAAATAATGATTTCTATATATTTCCTCTGAATTTCTGATATATTTGGTTTTAAATTAAATACTATTTGCATCAATCACTTCAGTGATATATATATATATATATATATATATATATATATATATATATATATATATGTCCACTTTTCATCTTCCGAAATATTAATTTTGATCCTTTTCAAATTTACAAATAAAATCTGTCTATATTTAGTCATATCTTAAAAAAAAAAAATTATGAGGGTATTCAGATGGTACCATGTGCTTCAGGTCCTTTGTGGTTTTTTGTGTATGGCTGAAAAAATGTAACAATTGAATTAACTCTGTAATTATTTTTTTTATTTATTCACAAATTGGAATATTTTTCACATTCAGATAAATAAGTTTTCAATTCAAAATGTTTTTTTGCAAAACTTACTACTAAAAATATTCATACAAATATTAACTTATGAAACATAATGAAGGAATATTTGTATGAAGTCCCTAGTGTTACCTTTTCATAAGATGCGCTCCCACTTTTTTCTCCCCCAATGTAAGGAAGATTTACTAAAAAGTTGCTGAGTTCTGTTTTTCTACATTTAATTAATAATGGTGTAATTGTAATACAGTAAATAATTTTTTAAAGTCCCAATTCTCTTGTAAACTGTGGTAAACCTAATTGTGATTTCTCAGTACTGTTTTCAATTTTAAAATTGACTTATTTTAAATAGACTATCATTTTGGGATACAGAGCTTTTATGATTAAATTTTTAAAGAAAAACAATTGAGTCAAATGTTTAATTCCATTTTGTGTATTTCATAAAACTAGCCAGTTTCAAAACACTGTCATGAGATTTTTTTTATTTTTATGTTTTAAATGACCATAAAAATATGCTACTACTGTTTCATGATCTTTTTACAAGAGTAAGAACATAAATTAAAGGCTGTAAACTGACTATACTTTCTGAGTCTAGTTAAAGTAGCTTTAACTATTTAAATTTACATTTTTAAGTATTTTTATAATTTCTCTAACATTGATTCAAGAATGTTTAGTTGCATGATCTTTAATTGAATGTTTAATTCCTTAATATGTTAAATAAAAGGAATATTTTATTTAAGTAGATAATTTCTTTGCTTTAGTTACCTAATGTAATTCATTGAAACTTCTCTAAATTCAAGCTCAGCATCTGTATGTTTTATTTTTCTAGTAAGTAATATATAACTTTGTTTTAAATTGTTACTATGGAGATGACCTATTTATAGTTTTCATGTCTATGAAAAGTATGTACTGAGTAGTAGTTTTTCCATTCTTTTTGGGTATCTTATAAATATCTTGTCATTTGTAAGTTAAAGCTATTTATGTCTGGCTTTGTTTTTCAGGTCTTAGTCATTGTTCTACTTTGTATCAGTATTTGTACAATTCTGTGGCAATAATTAACCATGCTTTACATACTAAATTTTAAAAATGCATAATTTTTTTCTATAGTAATTGAAAGTAGCATTTTTTAAAACGTTTATAAAGTCTTTAATATTAATTCTTAAATATGAATTAAATTTCTGAATATCTCTGATAGGAATTTAAATTCTGTAAATCACTTGGCTTTACATTTTTAAATATTTTTTCATTTAAATAGATGTTACATTTGTTGAGAATCTTTGCTTTCTCATTAGTTCCTTAATTTGATTTAACTACACTTCAATTGCAACTAGAGGAAAATAAGTTGACATTTAGACCTTTATTTTGCTACTCATTCATTTTTCCATAAAAGTCCTTCAGTATTTTCTCTAAATTTTAAATGCTGCATGATTTCTTAATGCCTTTTTGGATTGTTGAATACATTTTCTGAATTTAAGAAGCAAAATATTGACTTTCGTTAGATTTATTCAGTTCAGCCTATCACAAGGCCATTTAATGTAATCCACCAGTGTGAAACTCAACATAAGTAATTGTTTGACAGACTAGATTACAAATTATGGCCTCGTGGTTAGGGACTAAAATCATATGTTTAATCTCTTGTTGTTGTCTTTTTTTTTTTTTTTTTTTTTTTTTTTTTTTTTTTATTGTAAATGCTAATTTCTATATTGCATTAAACATAAATTAACACAATATTTAGGCCTATATTACTTTTTATAATTTATACACTGGGTAAATGTTAGCAACATAGTGAACTTTCAATTTTGTTAAAGTTTTTTTTTTTTTTATTCTTGGAATCATTTAAATCTAATTTTGTCTTAACTGTATTTCTATTGACCTTGCAACTTTTTTCCTCTTGTAATATGGTTCTTAATTAACTATGGAGCTAAATTAAGTTTTCTGTTTATTTGTCCTTTTAGATAAACATTAGTTCTTATTTTAAAATGTTTAATACATTTTAAAATGGTTTCAATTTGCAGCATTCTATATTAATAACAAACTTCTATTTTCAAAATCTAGACAGCGAGTCTTTCTTCCTTTACTAGAAGAATCAATTTTGGTTGTCTATATCAGTAATAGTAACATTATTTTTAGCTAACATTGTTAGTAGCCTAAGAATCAAGGTATAAGAAACAAGCTCTTTGAGTTGTTCTCATTTTGCTTTGTTCAGCTTTCAGCAGTTTACTTTAAACTTAACTATTGAGCATTTGGACAGGCTATTTCTTGAAGTAGTTGCAATTATACCAAATCATACAGTGATTTGCTCACAATACCTTTCTACAGATACTCATTACTAATGCCCAGAGTTGAATACATCTAATTGGAATTGACTAAAAGTCGAGAAAAAACAACATTGTGATTTATCACATTAAGCTAATCTGTGTCCAAGAAGTGTAAAATTCTGTTTCTAAATTTATACATAATAAACTTAGTCAAAGTTTATTAATTTGAAGCTGGGTATTACAAATATCCTTTGAACACAGGCTGATTAAATATGTACCCATCCCCCAAATGTAAATGTAATTTATGTTTTGATTTTATTTTAAACTGGGAAAAAATTTTCTAATTATTTCTAAGGTTGTATCATAACTACACTATCATGTTATTCTTGCCAGACATGAAACTTAAGATGTCTCAGAAATAAAATTAACTTTATTCATCTTAAGATGAATAAAGTTTATTAACTTATTTAACAGATTTCTATAATTGTGCCTTGTCATTATGATCTTTTTCACATATTGGCCAACCAAAATGCTTGTGTTATTATAAAAGTATATTATGATTTTATCTTTTGCCATCTTTCAAGCAATTTCATAATTCTATCCTACTAGAACCATTCGCCTTTCTGGGCAAAGAACTGTCTGTAGAGGCCATTTTGCTTTCTTGATTTTTTTTTTTTTTTTTTTAAGACTAGAAGAAAAGATAATCCCAACATGATGCAATATCTGGTAATGGGATCACTAGTTCTTTGAAAAGTCTCCTTTACAATTGCACTATATATGCAGCATTACTCTGTCTGGATGAAGACTTGTCCTTGGTATGAGTAGTGGTGGCTCATTTTATTTGCTCATGGTGTGTTGCATTCTGTGAAAAAGTATCAATTTTTAATTACCATCTGTTTAAGAATATCTTCAGAATCTAACAAAATGTGCTAATTTTCACAATGTTTTATTATATGCTGCTATGATAGTTATTGTAATCCAATCTAAAGCAGTCTTTTTGAATAACATTTAAAATGTGCCCTTATCACTAACAACAAACCCAAAATAAACTTTTTATCACAACTAAATATAATAAATGTAGAATATATTTTATATGCGTGTAATAATTGTATATAGAAGATACATCTGTACAAATTTGATGTTTTTTTAGAAACACACACAGAACCATTCCTTTAAAATGTTACTATGATCGCTACACCTTCAGTTATAAAAAGAATGTTTTTCTTAAGCACTGACATTTGCAACTAGTTGAAATATCCATTTTCATAAATTCTTTGGATTTGTTTTTCCAGTTGTCTTTGATATATCTATATATTGTTATTAGGAATTATATAATCGGTAATTTTGTTTTCTAAACTCTTAAAATGAAGTATTATCATTGCAGTCATATTTCATAATAATCTCTTCATCTTTGTCGTTTAATATTTTGTTAAATGTTAAAGACCGGAAACAACATAGATCAAAACATAATTAAGAATAGATGAAAATCGAAAAATAGAATAATGAAGTTTAAGGGAGACAACTCTTAGGATTGTACATCCTAAGATTTGAAATCTTTGAATAAATATTTGTTACTGTAAGAGTTTGATCAATACTTCATGTATTTATCTGCAATACTTGTATTAGATATAAAGCTTGTTAGGTTATATCTAAATGACCTTAAATTTGATATTGTGTAAATATGTTAGGAAGTTGTGAAATGCTTATATTTGTAATTTATACTCTTTAGAGGTATCAAATATCTTAGTATAAACTAATTTAAGTAGTAGGTATTATTATAAATACTTGCATAATTACATAGTGATAACATTTAAAAAAAAAAAAAAAAGATCCAGTTAAGGCTCTGAGGATGTGCTGAAAAGTTCTCAACTTTGTCAAGAAGATTACTTAGATTTTGTAAAATTGTAAAAATATTACTTTTTGTTTAAAATATAATGAAAAATATATTTTTCCCAGCAGGTTATGTTCTCACTTGTTTAACATATTCAAAGGTCAAACAAGTGTTATCTCACTAAAAATCAAATCCAATATAGAATGCTAAAACTTTCAAAATCAATTTAAAGAAAGAGCTCATGAATTATGAAATTTTGAATTTCTTACATTATAAAAAGTAATATAAAAAAAGAAAAGGATTAAAAATATCTTAGTCACCCTTTTACTCATAATTATTTTTTGACAATTTTATTGATGTCAAAATAATTAATTTCATCCAACAAGATCTTGATTATTTTCATATGAAAGTTTATTAAAGCAAAAATTTATAAGAAATTGGTAAAGAAGTTATAGAATTGATCATTAATTTACCATTACTTTTTGATTCCATTTGTTACTCCTGTCCTAAAACATTTGTGACACCTCCTGACATTGTGCACACATGAATATGAACACCCTATCTTCAGATTTTAAGACTGGAAAAAAAAAAAAATCAATGAATTATCTTTTCTCCTTCCAATCCCCATTGTTACCTCATAGATTGCTACTTTTCCATCTTCCTTATAGCATTTATCATAAATCATTGTTCATGGGACATAATTCAGAATTTTAGTCGATTTTCACTTTGGATCTTCTATAGAATGGAAAAAATCAAATGGTTGTAGAATGAGAAAATAAATAATTATTTAAAATAGAAAAAAAATGTTCATACTAAAATGGCATTAACTTTACATTTTTCAACATGTCAAGTATATCAGCCATGGTCAAGATCTGAAAGTTTTTTTAAGCCATACTGTAACAATACATGCCAAATCCTTCACAAACAAATATGCATGAGAATTGTATATTTTTCCTGTAGAATCCCCCTCTCTACACAAAATACAGCCAATTTTATTAAAATTGGGTATCAGCAACTCTACAAAAGATAATTTTTTTTTAAAATTCTTTTAGAATTTGTACTACATTTTCAATGTATTCATGTATTATATTTTTTATTGTTAATGGGATAACACCTTCAGAGATTTAACTTTATAAAAGTTAAGAACATCTGGAATTCACTAATACGGATTAACTACAATTTAAGTAAAGGAATATATAACTGATCTTAAAAAAAAAAAAAAAAACTTTCACAAAACTTAAAATAAAATCGATATAAATTCATTGATTAATGAATAAGTTCTTAAAATGTCAATGAAATTGCATAATTCTTCGATTTATTTTGATAACTTTAAAACCAGGGTATTTTATTACGTGTCAAAAGCGTGCATGATTTATGTACCTATTTCATTGTTTTTATTTTAGGTACCTATTTCATTGTTTTTATTTTTTGTGTTCAGTTTCCTTGGATATTTTTACTTTTTAATAATTTGAAAATTGCAATTCTTAATCCTGTCTTATAAAACAAGACATTTGATGAAATATTTTGATAGCTTAATTAATCTGCTAAGTATGCAAGTGAAATTAGAATTTTTAAAGTTTGTTTTTTTTTTTTTTGTTTTTTTTCCTCTCAAAGTGAAAATGTCATGTAAAAGATTATAGAATGTTACAATTCTGACATAAAATCTTTAAGAGTATATGACTACACTTTTTATTTTTCAGATAATTTTGAGTAAAATTGGAGTTTCTGATCTAAAGCTACATTAGAAATTGTTATATATACACACACACTTTAGTTCAGAAAAATAAGGCTTATTAAATTTTATGGCCCTGCCTAAATTTTCTTCAGAAAATTAAACTATTCAATTTTGTTGAAGATTGAATTATTAATATTTTTGCTTGTAATTGAAATAGATGAAGCATGCAAAAACAATTGCAATAAGTTATGAAAAGCTTTTTTATAGATTCTGACTAGTATTAGCCTGGTAATCTATTATAAAATGAACTTTTGTACTAATTGTTTCTCCTATTAATATTTTGTGAGCACTGTAAAAATACACCTCTCTCCTATGACTAGTGAGATCAGTTTGATATGAAGTGGTTTCATACTCTATATTAATATGAAAATACATTTTATTCTTCTCGGTGTTCTTTCACTTTTTGATTGTCTTTGTATACATGCTCACACGTGAAAATTTTTATAAATAAGATTTAATAATTTGAAGTATGTTAAAAATTCAAAATCCTGTTCTGGCTCTACATATTAAAAAATATTGTTTCTTGAAAATATTCATTCCCTAACTTGAGTGATAGTATGTTGATATCTCATGTAAAATGGCTTACTTGCCAATTGTAACCTTGACATGTATACATTATGTTAGCAGCTAAGTGCTCTTTCTACATGGGAATATTTTCTTGGTGATCATTTTTTTATTTTTTTTTTTTTATTATTGTAAATGATTATTTGACTGAAAAGTAGCAATTATAATTAGTTAGCATGATACAATGTTAGCCAATTGGCTATCGTTTGTGAGACTAGTAATGCAATTGACATAAATGGTTATGACAGTTTATCAAATAGCTATATTACATATCACTGACAAGTTTGTGGTATAAGCATCTGTTGATTTGATTATGTGAGCATTTAGCAGCTGTTATTATCAGCAAAGAAATAAAGAGGAACCAATTATATTTTTGATTGACTAATTAAATTACCATTATAAACATCCTAATCACTTCTCTTTATTACATTTCCCTAGATTTAGTCCATTTGAGATTGCAGATCTGAGTGAGCGATAACAAACTGGAGATAATTAAATTGTTCAAACTTTCACAGTGACTGGGTGAGAACTTCATCCTTGAATTAAATTTCTTTTTGATATATTAACTGACAGAAGTAGCATCATGTAAAACTAAATTACTTTAAAATTCTATAACTCTTGTAATACATTAACTAAAAATTAGGAAAAATTTTACTTTGTTTCTAATTATCTAATTTTTTTAATATTTAAAAAAATAACAAAATGGGATTAAATTTTTAAAATTTGGGTGTATTAATATTGAACTGTTGGACCAGTATTTAAATCAAAAGGTGTAAATAAATATTGAAATACTAACAGAATCCTTGTTAAATCATTGTTAAATTGTTTATTAAACAAATCTTTAACATATTTTTCAGAGTTACTTTCATTCTCATGGTAGTTGGCTGTTGTTTGCTCACAGGTTAGTGAGTAACTGCAATACCAAGTATTTTTTCTAACAATGGAAAAGTAAATTTAGTCTGTAAGAAATTCAGTATTTTCTTTAGTTATTGGAAAGTAAAAAAAAAAATAGCTATGTGTATTGTAACACTTAATTTTTAAGTAATGAAATAATTAAACTGCTATAACTTGATAAAAATTTAATTGAAAGCTTTACTTTGTGTTTCCTTTTATCATTCTTCATAAAAAACAATATTAATGCTAACTTAGGTTAATAGAAATCAATTTCATTTTTTAATTTTATTGGAAGTGAAAACAATGGATTAAATTTTTGTGGTTTTAGTATGATGTAAATAGGCAAACCAATTCTTAGCAAGACATTCTGGTTTTATATTTGTTATCTATTGCTGGCTTTTGTTGATTTGCATGTTTATTTAATGTGGAATATTTTACACTTTGAACAGTCATGTTCAGATAATACAAAATTCATCTCTGTTTTTAATTCCTACATATTTTATCCAGAAATGTTATGAACAGAAGCAGTATAAAAATGGGTTGAAGTTTGCTAAGCAGATTCTTTCAAATCCAAAGTTCTCTGAACATGGAGGTAAGTGTTGGTTTGCTTAATGATATTTAAAAATTCTTTGTGGTTCAGTGGGTTATAAATAAGGAAATTTTTTTTTTTATATATAATGACAATCTCGTGGATATGTTTGAAAATTTTATATATTTTTATATATTTCAATTAGTTTTATGTTAAATAAGCCTTTTTCATAAAAAATATTTTAATATTAATAATCCATGTATGAATGTTAAATATATATTTGTATTTTCTGTTCTTTTGCTTATAGAAAAAGCACATTGAAGTCTTAGCAGAACTGAACTCATTTCTAAACAGTCGAGTTAAGATCTCTAGTTAAGGTGCAAGTTTGTACATTTGAATGTTTCTTGTTCATAATAAAAAAAAAAATAGATGTTAAATACAGTTTTTAATTTGAATATGCTATATATTCATTTTTATTTATTAGACTGAAAAGCAGTTTCTTTTTATAATTGTATCAAGTTTAACACTTAGACCTTGTAGCATATTGTTATTTTGAGTTAATGCTTGTTTTTATGCTTTGAAAGCCATAAGCTTTTGAGATCAGCATTTTTGTATACAAAAACCTGATTTAAATAGTTTTTAAATGTCCTCATTCCAATCAAGCTTTTTTTTTATGAGAGCAGCTTTGTTTCTGTAGTTAAAAGTATATTGAAATCCATTACATTTTTGAAAGCTAAATATTTTTGTATTTGCTACATTTGAAAATTAATTCATTAATTCTTTGCCTATCAAGTAGTAAAATATATTTTGGTATGTTATTTAGATTTATATAACTTGAAAATATAAAATACCTAATACTGATGGGAATTGATAAGATTATATGAAAAGTGAATATTTAATTTTTCTTTGTTTTTGTAAATGATTATTTTTACAAATTATAGAGGTTTGTTAAAACATGACTAATGTAGCAGATATTTTGCTATTACACTTTGGGGTGTTTTTGTTTCTTTTATTTTGTTTATATAAATCTCTTTTATAGAAGTTTATTTTACTGCAACTGTTACAAACTTTTCAGTGTTTCAGATTGATTTGAATTTATTATAAGATGACAATTTAAACTTTTTTAAGTGATTATACAATATCTTAATTGATGAGTCACTGCATCTGTGACTGTTTAATGTTATATCATTTTGAATTATGGAAGTAGTTGGCATTTTGTAAAAGCAAAATGAAATGGAAATGTTTTTACTTTATGAAGTTAAAAAAATTGCAGACTTAAAGTATCTTTTTGCATAGTTATTTAATAAAGTGTATGCATTTTTATGTCAAATACATGTAATTTTTAATTATGCACTGATAATTTTTACTTATGCATTTTAGAAACATTGGCAATGAAAGGTCTGACACTCAACTGTTTAGGAAGGAAGGAAGAAGCCTATGAACATGTCCGTCGAGGATTACTTAATGATCTCAAAAGTCATGTCTGTATCCTAAGAACAAGATTTCATTACAGGACAAAATATATTTACTAAACTAGACTTATCTGATGTGGCCTTCTGTTGAATGAGCAGAAAGGTGTAGCATTATATAACAAACATTAAATAATTCTGTGTGTGTAATAGAATATTTCTTTTTCAGTTATGAGGAACAATATCATATAGGTTGCTTTTCAGTTTTATTCTCTAGAAAAGAATGTTTTCTTTTATTTTGTTGAGTTTAGCTTAATCTAGTCACAAGTTATTTGGCCAAAATTTACTTTAATCTTTTAGTTTTAAATTTAATAGGGGAACTCTGATTCAGAAAGTAATCAGCTTCAAGTCTTTCTGAGATGGTTAAGGCAAAGACACACTACCTGTTATTAATTTTTGACTAGTATGTCTTGCCTCTTCATTTCAGCTGTTTATTACAATTCTTAGACTGTCATGCCATGTTTTTTGTAAGCAACATGAATTGAAAATAAGCCTCTTACATTCTCTATCATTGGGAATTTATTTTTTATTTCTGAACCATGCTGATATGGCAGGTGTGATAAAAAGCAAATGAAACGAAATATTAGTTAAAAAAAAAAAATACTCTTTCCTGTAAAAACATTCAAAGAATATTGCAATATTTGTTTTTAAAAAGGGAGGTAGTTTAATAACTTGACTGGAAAACTTTTGCAATAAAAGATTTAGGACTTGTGGGTCTGTATAGAAAATTCGCTGTTTCTTGCAGTCTAACATTTTCAATTCTAACTGCAGGTGCTGATTCATTAATGTAATCTTGTAGAAAGCATTTCCACTTGAAATAAATAAAAATGATTTTAAAAGAAAATGTTAGTCAGTTGTTTGTCATGATCATTTTATAATTTTGTTTGGATAAAAAAATTTCCTTTATGGTGAAATAGAAATTTTCTGATGTGTCATGCAATTAATAATTACTCAGTTATGAGATTTACAAAGAAAATTGAATTGGTAAATTTGAATAATTAATAGGTTTGCGTGACCTATGTGAATTTCAGAAGTGGAGATATATATAAATGCAAATGTCAATGTATCACACTTTTTCAACTTTACTCTTAGAGGCTGTAGCCCAACATAGCGCACCATTTTGGAATCTGGCTGATTCTGTGAGCAAATTAAAATGTTCTGGGTTGGATCCCGAAGTTTTTATTACTGCAATTGTTTTTGCCGTATTTTTTGTTAACAATTTTTATAATTTGGGATAATCGAAATTGCGAAATGCAGTGAAAGTCACTCAGGAAATGAAAATAATTGTTTGTACAGAAAGTAAAGACCTACACTACATACAATCAAATTCTTTAAATTAAGTGGTGGCAGAATTATCGTTGGACTTTTAAAAGATAAGCCTAATTATTAATGCAATACTTAAATGCAGTGATAATTTTGAGTTCTGTAGTTTGTTGACTATTGCATCTACTCCTCCCTAAGTGCCCATGTAGCTAGCTTAAATGCTGCCTGATAGGGTGGCTTTTAAGCTTATATATATATATATATATATATATATATATATATATATATATATATATTGGTTACATTTCAACTGAATAATATCAGTTTCTTTATATGTATGTTGCATAATAGGAAAGTTGAACTGAATATATTTTAAAGCTGCTTAGATTTTTGAACTTGTGATAGCCTGTTTTAACAGTTTTAATTTAATCTCTGAAGGCTGGGAAATGGATTTAAAAAACAGTTTTTATGACATCCCTCCTGCAATTGTTTATATGTACTTGAGAAGTTTATTTCAGATATTGTATTATCCTTAACAAATCTTCAGGTTGGCATGTGTACGGTCTCTTGCAGAGATCTGATCGAAAATATGATGAAGCAATAAAGTGTTATAGAAATGCTTTAAAATGGGACAAGGTAGGTTTTTTTTATGATTTTATACTTTTTTTTTTTTCTTTTTTGGGTTGGTGTACATATTTAATTCTTGTATTGTTGTATATTTTTTGTAATTAAGTGTAAATGTTTAATGATGATTAAAAATGTTTCAGACAAAAATCTGAGATTCATTTGTGAACATGAAATAATTTAATGTTCACAAATGAATCTCAGATTTTGACCTTTTCATTTGTCACTTAATACCTGAAGTAAGCACTGGAATTCTGAATGCCATCAGGCTGCAACAAAAGAAACTTAACTAGCATTCTTTATGTCATGTAAAATAACAATACTTAAAATATCTTAGATTGACTTTGTCAGTGGCATGCATTTATTTTTAGAACAATTACTATACCACCTACTTGTTAATTGGTACTGCTACTCTCTCTTTGTATTTTAGGTGTCACTCCCCAAATACATGATATCGTTCCCACAAATCATGACTACAAAGGAAAATAACTTATTTATGAAGTTATAAATATCATTTAAACAAATTTATTGAATGACAGTTTATAAAACACTCAATTAGCTTTAAGGGCTTTTGCACCCCCCAACCCCCTCAGTATTAAGCATACATTTGTTTAGAAAGTTTATCAAAATTAGTCATGTCCTATACAACCGATAGGATAATGATTTTAATATTAGTTCCTTTTTTTTTTTTTTTTTTTTTTTTTTAAATCACACAAAACTAAAATATAATTCATTATAATAAGGCATAATTATTAGTTAGGTTGCTTGTTAATAATTTTTTAGTTTTTATAGTTAGACATTTAAAAAAGAAACTAGCATAAAATGAGTATTATTTTTACCTGTAAAATTTGAAAACTTTTTCTTCTGACAATGATCACAACATATATGTACTTTGATATATTTATTTTTAGCATTTAGATATATTTATTTGTATTTGAATAGATTTTATGATGCTATTATTTTATCTAGTGTCTATCTGTTTATGAACTACTAGATCGTATCGTGCTGCAAGAAAATTAATTTCCTATTTTCGAATTTCAGGACAATATCCAAATTCTGAGGGACTTGTCTCTCTTGCAAATACAAATGAGGGACTTAGAAGGTTACCGGGTATGTATAACCACCTATTTCTTTAGAGTTGATAGTTTCTTTAGTAAGCTAAAGGACAGTTAATTCTAGCTTACTGTGGAAGCTCTTTCTAATTGAAAGGTTTTCTCTTATCTGCTAGGTTGTATTTTGTGGAATGTAGTTATTTTTTGTTTTCACATGCTATTTAAAATTGAAACTGATGTCATTAATTTAGGCTGGAATAACTTATTTTAAGTTAAAGTAAGCTGCAAAATGCAAATCTGAAATATATAAAATAGTGTACAGTGAGTGCTAAACAGCTAAAGTTTTATACTAATAATATATATTAAAATTTGTAATTTATTTTGTAAAAAAATATCAACAATGAATCTAAATGAATTACTGTTAAATTGTGTCAATTGTTATTAAATGTATTTGTTGCATAAAAAAAAAGTGTTTAATAAAACTAGGTAGAAACTTAACCTTTTTGTATGCAAGTTATGTTAACTTGTTTTAATTAATCAATAACTACAAACTTGGTATGTTAATTATTTCTCTAAATATTCCTTTTAATCACTTTTTTTTTTTTTTTTTTTTCCCCCCCCTCTCTAGGACACTCGTTACCAACTTTTAGTTCTTCGGCCTGGTCAAAGAGCTTCATGGATTGGCTATGCAATGGCCTATCATCTTCTCAAAGATTATGATATGGCTCTTAAAATCTTGGAAGAATTTCGCAAGACGCAGGTGGTAAGTATAAGTAACATTTTTTTTTTTTTTTTTTTTTTTTTTTTTTTTACACTGTAAAAATATATATACACACACACAAGTGCATTTTCAAATGGTAAAAGGGCACTTTAAAAGGAATAGTTTTTTATCATCTTAAATACACTTAGGATATTTTGCTTAGGTTTGATCCTTGCAGCATTAGAAAAATGTTTCAGTGAAACATTAATACTTAGTTGCCTGGATGAATAATTTTAAGTTTTATATAATGATTGTGTTGATTACCTCTGAATGAGGCAGCAGTTGTTTTTTTTTAGCTAAGTGTTTATATTGAATTTAAGAAATCAAAAACCACAAATGCTTTAAAGTAAAAACAGATATATATATATCTAGAGAGAGAGAGAAGTCAACACTTAGAGGTGACAGTCTGTTTCATGCTTGATGCAATCCTCAGGCCATCAAGCATGAAACAGACTGTCGCCTCCAAGTGTTGACTTCTATGTTCACTTTTATATTTACACATACTCTCTGATATTGAGCACTTCATCCCATAAATATAGCACATCTTGAGACTATATTTCTTATATATATATATATATATATATACACACACACACACTGTTATTCTTATCATCAAACTGGAATATTTGCATATAAAGATGTAGTCTTTTGTTCACAAGTGGCACATATTGTGTGTGAATCTAGGCCTAAAAATGTAGATTACACTAGACTAGATGACTTGACTGTCAGATGATGTGTGTATGAAGTGTTCCAGTAGCCATAAGATGAACAGTATTTAACACTATCTTGTTTGACTCTAGAGTGATTATAAGAGCCAAATAAATGGGGCACTCTATTTTGGATGTAGCAACTGCTTTTGGCTTTTCAAGGGCATACCAAGAATATGAATTTTTAGACAGGCATCGGCAGCATGTTAAAACTAGGATACTTGGGTGATATAAGAATGGTACCACTGGTGGTGGACAAAGGTGTTAACCATCTAATGAATGGTTACATGTTTCCAGATGACACAACTCCACATGAAACTGATTCTAGAATCACTTGGTTGACTTTTAATATATTATTCACCTCCACTTCTGTGTTTGAGATTTAAATGGACATGTTGCAGACTTCACAAAATTTTCTGCATCCATATTGAACAGACATCTTGTTTAACACGCCTGTTTAAGTTATATCCACACAACTCCTCCACCCCATTTATTTAATACCCTGTATCTGATGTTCAGGCAAAAAGAAAAACTCTGTTATAAGGTAGCTGACTTTTTAATTATTATTTTTTACCATGAAAATATTCTTGGCTTTAGTCTGCTTAAGATGCAAAGTTTATTTTTCTCAATATATTTTTTTTGTAGCCAAAACCAATGGATTATGAACACAGTGAAATGTTGCTCTATCAGAATATGGTAATGCAGGAAGCTGACATGATTGATGAATCTTTAAATCACTTGAATACAAATGAAAACCAAATTGTTGATCGCCTATACCTGCTTGAAACAAAAGGTGAGTGCATATTATCTGAGTTGACTAACTTTGTTGTACTCAATCAGTAAATTTTACATAATCTATGGCAGAGCTGTTAGTCTCTGAAAACACCTCAACAGTCATGGTCTCATCCTCTTGCACAGACTAAGATTACTACTACTACTATGCAATACACGTTTGAACATAAACGTTAAAAACTTTAACAATGGACGCTTTGAAAAATAGCTAAGGAATTGGCCAAAAGCACTTGGGACCATAATAATTACAGACAGTTTCTGCACTCCCTTAGTTCTTTCAAAATGGAAACTGTAAGGTTATTAGAAAAACTCTTATAAGACTTCCTTGTCTGTCACATTCAATGAAATATGTATAAAAAGAAAAGGTTGCTGCCAATAATATATATATATATATATATCTCACACATTCCTTTTAAAATAGCACCATGAAAAATGCACTGCATACAGGGCAGATAGTGTAACATACTTTATACAAAAAAAAAATAAACTAAAAATCAAAATTAACAAGCTACAAATAAGCTCAAGTAAAGGTAATAATAATCAGAAACAAATAATTAACTAATCATTAATAACAAGTAAAAAGTTAACAAATAACGGCATTCAGATCCATAATTATTTCTACTTAGTAGACTCTAGAATAATCTGAAACAACAGTTACTGCCCACCCAATAACTCTCAAGAAAATACAATAGATCTTATTCATAATTCACCATTGACCAATGTAAATAAACCAAAACAACATATATGAATTGAAGATTGTGTTTACTTCAGTATTTGCACACATTTCCAATAAACTTTGCTGTATTTCAAAAATTAATTTAAATTGACTGGAAGGAATCTTTTTATTGATTAGCACCCTTTTTTTCCATTAGTTTATAAAAAAAAAAAAATCTTCCAAAAATAAAATATACTTTTCTGATACTAATCCTTGTCCCACCTGCTGACACAAGAAATTTTTTTTTTTTTTTTTGTTTTAACCAAGTTTGTAGCCTTAATTCATCATGGTATGATTTTTTTTTTTTTTTTTTTTTTCATCAAAAAATTTTATTAGAGCTACCTATTTTTTTTTTTATTTATTTATATATAAAGGGCAGTTGTCTGTATGTGTGTGTCCAGCTAAAACTAAAAAACTACAATAGTTTGACAGTAAATATGTATACATTCATTATCACCGAAGTCAGCTTTTTGTATAAAAAAAAAAAATTTATCGTATGACTTGTATTTACAAAGATATTTTAAAATTAGAGTGCATTTGAAATTAAAAGGTAAGATGGACAGTAATAATTTTTATTCCAGATTAGTGATTACTGTTTGTTTTTATTTTTTTTTATTCTGCTAAATGCTATACATGTATGTATTTTTAAAATTTCTGTTCTCTTGAATTTATTGCACATCTATAGTAAATAGAAGTGTGACTTTAAAACAACAAAGTAAACTTTAAAAAAATATTAAATACAATTATTTGACAAAAAGTTTAATCAAATATTTGTGTGTCTCTCTGTCCGGCTACAAAATATACAAACTCAGTATCACCCTACAGGGCAGTTTGTGTGTGTGTGTGTGTGTGTGTGTGTGTGTGTGTCTTATTCATATTTTTTTGACCTTTTTTATAGAAAACAATTTTTCTTTTATAAAGTCTTTAAAAAAATAAACTTCATTTTTTTTTTTTTTTTCTCCATGTTTGCTCATTTTTTTAGTGAATCTTTGGAGGTACATAAAATTTATATATATATATATATATATATATATATATATATATATATATATATACACACACACACACGGTGTAGCAGAAATATCTCCCACATAGTAGTAAAACATTAGCTAGTTAAAGACGCCATTGGTATTTTACCATTATGTGGGAGATATTTCTGCTGCACCCTGTATATAAATTCAGTAAAAATAATTGACTTTTCCAAATTATGAAAAATCCTTGTCAGAAAAGGAGGAAATTCTGTATGTACTAATATATATCCTCAGCCTATGAGAATAGTAACTACAATGTTTTAATCATGCTTTGGTCCTTTTGGTGACTTATGTTGGATCAGTCTTGCTTATTAATTTTAAAAATCAAACCACCTTAAGTCAAAAGCCATATTTAAAATGCTGCATGCACTATTTGTAGGTGTATAAATGATAAAATGATCTGCAAACCTTTTTTTTTTTTTTTTTAATTTAAAACAATTGTCAGTAATGTAGAAACTAGCCCGCTTCAGTTTTTTTTTTTTTTTTTTTTTAAACAGGTACTATTTGTATGGAAAAAAAAATTAGCTTAAATATTGCAATATATTCTAATAATTCTAAGATATATATTTAGGTATGAGTTATTTTTATTATATTCATTTTAATTTTGTTTTCAGCAAATTTGTTACTGAAATTAGACAAGAAAGATGAAGCTAGTGCAATTTTTAAGATTCTTGTAGAAAGAAATCCTGAAAATATGGCTTATTACCGAGGCATGGAACAGACAATGACCAGCTGTGAGTTGATATTTTGTTTTTTCTCTTTTCAAGTTTTCTGAATTTATTTAAAGTATTTTTTACCGAATATTCAAAAGATAACTTTGTGCATTTTGCTATATTTTGTATTTTAGAAAACATATGATATGCGAGTATATGAATCACACCCCTTTTAATGCTGCTAGTCCTTTTAGAATACTGATTTACAGAATAATCTTTACAAGTATGATGCAAGACAGTTTACCCTATTGTCATATGTGCATGATAGTTGAAAAATCTGTCCTTTAATTTAGAAGGGGCAAGTAACCTTGTTAGATATAGAAATATATCTCTGCTTCTCAAAATAGGTGAATACTTGTACATCTAATCCTAAAAAATCATATTGAATATTAAACAAATTGACTGTAACTGTCTGCTCAATGAACTACTATACATCTTTCAGGTTCGCTTAGTGAACGGCTGAAATATTATACAGATGTATCAGCTAAATTTCCAAAAGCATCTTTACCGAAGAGAGTGCCTTTATCATTCACCACAGGTTAGTGCTTTTTTTTTTTCTCTTCTTTTTCAAAACATGGTATAAAATTTGAATTCAAAAATCTACATATATCATTTTGATTTAAGTAAAAAAATAAAATTTTTTGATATTAATATATTTACTATTTTGTTCTATCTTTCAGGCAGCTTCATAATCCCTCCTAAGAACATTTTCTTTTCTGACCAAAAACATTCTGTAGATGACTTTTTGCAGTTTTCTAAGAAGTTGATTTAAGTTACTTCAATAAAGACTGGAATAGGTTATCCAAAGATTGAGCATTATCTCAATTTAGCAGATGAGGGAAAACTTGCATGTCAAACTAGAAAAACACTTACACACACACACACACACGTGTACCCTGACATGTGTTACACATGTCAGGGTACCAAAGAAAAATGTGGTCATGCATTATTCTGGTGTAATATTGTGCCCTTTTTATTTATTAATTTTAGATGTTTTCCATTAATTTTCACTTTTTTAATTGGTTTAATTTAAGGCAGTACTTTTTAGAATGAATTGTTTGGGTTTTCTCCAATTCCACCATATATACTGCATCACTTCAAATATTTGATAATGTAAACAATATATTATAACAGAAATTAAGATGAATCACAAATAAATCATCAGTGTAGTGCAGAAGTTTCAGCTTTTGATATAACTAATAAATCAACTATCACTCAAAATAAAAACCTAAAATAAATACATTTTTTTGGTGGGGCCCTAATACAGCAGCAAAGAAAACTTTAGATTTGCAAATTACAACTATGAAAATAACCTACGCTGACTTATGACCAATTGTAGACAAATGTATTAAAAATAAGTGGCAAGTTTATAAAACTCTTGTCTGAAGCAAAAGCTATATAAAATCTGACTAACATTTGATAACAACAACTGAACCTTGGATATACAAGAAAAAGTTATGACCATGCTTTGCATAGGCCATAATCATATACAGGGTGTATCAAAAAATACTTTTACAAGCTTTGGGGGCAAGTTTCTCACACCAAAACAAAGTCCATATAAACACATGTCTGCAAATCCTTAGTTTTTGAGTTATTAAGTTTAAAGTTTACAGTAGACGCTGTGAAATGTACAATCCAAGATACAATCCAAAAATACTTTTATAAACTTTGGGGCTAGGTTCATGACACCAAAACAAGATAAAATGTTCATATAAACATGTCCAAAAAGCCATCGTTCTACCTCAACAGCTTCTGTAAGACATACTGGGAGAACATCTGGACCTATTCTACCATGGGGATTCCAATACTCTCGCAAATGTTGGTTGTATAAATTTGTTATTCCAACTCTTCCAAATGTTGCTTTGTCTGTAAACAAGACTGAAGAGACAAACAACAGATCAGCAGTTTGTGCAAGAAACTATTGATAAAAGTTTTCTTGTGGTGTGTTTGATTAAAGGGTGAAAGGGTCATTGCAAATGATATGGATGCAGGAGTTGCTCTTGAAGTGTCCTTCCTGCGGTACTATGAGATGTAGGGCCACTTGACGTGTGCTGACACCTGGACCCTCTCTGACAGCCTGTAGAATATGTTCTCCGTGATCAGGGATATCAGTGGATCTGTCTTCCTCAATCCATAGTTTGTGGTGCAATGGATCCTGTCTCGGCAACTGACGATAAAACAGCAGCAAAGGTTGGATGAGTTGGTTGTCTTTGGTCTGAAAAAATAATCCCATGCAGCCTTGTGGCCATATGTAAAAATCATAACTGCTTGCTTATGATTTGAATATCCTGTCATTGTTAACTCACTACTACACATATTAAACTTAAAACAGGCTAGAAACAAATGTGACCTAATCTACATGGTAATACAGCACTATCTACAGTAAACTTTGTTTAAACTTAATAATTCAAAACCAAAAAGGGTTTTGTACCACATACTTCAGCCCTTAGTTTAAATTGATGAGTTTCTTGGACAACCTTTGCAAAGAATTCTACAATCCTAAATAAAAATTAAGTGAAAGTGCAAAACCTACAGAAAATTAGCACCACAAAGTTATCTTGAAACAAAAAAAACTACATGATCATTTCACCACTTTATTGAAATTATTAAATAACACTTTAAGAAAAAAAAAGCCTAATTTGTAAAATTTGGCTTTCTGTAATGACAAACTGTCTCCACCTCTGTCACCATGTGTGATAGGAAAAAAGAAAGAATAAAACAAAAAGACAAAATTTTTGTTTTTGCCTGCCACTATTACCACCACATTTTTTTTTTCTTTATTATTAAAGCAAGCAACTTTGTAAAACTTGGTCCCTAAATACTGTAAACTGTAGGGAGACGGTAGATAAGGGGGATGTATTGAAACATTGTCAACTTTATCCTTTGATGTCAGTTGGACAAGAGAAGCAAACTTAATAAATTGAATCGGCAGTTGATGAATCTGATTGTTAGAAAAAAATGAAAAAGAATGTCAATTTCAAAATCGCGATTTCCGTTTCAAGTAAGCCATTCCATTTTCATGGAAAATAAGCTCATATATATATAATCTCAGTTTTCCAAAAATTTACAAACCTTTGTTATGCTATATAACCCTGTGTTATGAAATGTTAAATACAAAATTACCAACCCAACCCTTGTTTGGATAAAGATTGGTCTTTGATATTTGTGGTAGTTTATTTTGCTTGCTTTACATTCTATTCCAGTCTATATCGTATAATTATCCTATTTTCATTGCCTATCACAGTTTATTTTTAAAAAAATGCATTTAAATATGACTGACAGTTTTTTTTTTTTTTTTTGATTGTCATGTAAATGTTGCACATCAAAGTGACTAACAGAACCAAACTGATGCAAATGGATTTCAGCAATTGATTTGGCTATTACTTTTGTCCTAATATTGTTTTTTTTTTTTTTTTCTTCTCAAGTCCTGTTTTGATGTACTCATTGTCAACTTTAATCTCATTCACCAAGAAATACTGAGCATGAAACTTTGCAAACCACATTTGGTAGATTTGATTATTTACAGTACATTCCTTATAAAGTGTACAGATCTTTATAGTTTTTATTTTTGTAAAATAAAAAAAGTATATATTGTCAGTTTTCAATTTTAGAATCAATAAATTAAAAAAAAAAAATGATGCTAAGCTTTATAAATTAAGAAAAATATGCCTTTATGATGGCTGCTACAATAGCATCAAAAGAAATGATTTTGAATGAAGTTTAAATGCTCCTAATGATATCTAACAATCTTTTTAGAATTTAAACATATATAGTGTGTGTGCGCATGCTTGTATTTAAAATAACTGTATGGTATAGATTCCTGGCTATAATTAACTTTTTTTTTTTTTTTTTTTTTTTTTGTAGGTGACATGTTCAGGACTCAAGTTGATCAATATTTACGGGCAGCTTTGCACAAGGGAGTACCTCCATTGTTCATCCGTTTAAAAGAACTTTATAAATTTCCAGAGAAGGTGGGCAAACTTAGCCGGACTTATTTAACATACATCCATAAATTATAACCTAAATGATAATGTTTTTAATGAAATTGTTTGAAAGATAAATGATACATCTAATGACAATATCCAGCTTTATTCATATAGATGTTTTGGTTCGTGGTCGAATTTCTATCTTTCAATGTGAAAAAAAGTACTTTTCAAATTATAGATATTTGCTAAAAATAATCAAGGGGAGAATTTTGATCTGAATTGATATATTCATTTGTTTTAAATGCTTTTATTTTACCTTATAAAAAATTGCAGTTATATATATATATATTATATAATTTTACAGGTAAAGATAATTGAGGATCTCATGCTTGGTTATCTGAACTGTTTGAAAACTGAGGAACGTTTCCATCCCTGTAAGTTTGTTTGCTTCTTTTTTTTTTTTTTTTTTTTTTTTTTTTTTTTTTTTTTTTTTAAATGTTTACAAAAATAAACAATGAATGACAAAATGTTAAATCTTTACTTGATTTAATTCTTAGTTTCTTTATAAATTAAAAATATCAATGCTTAGACATTTCAATCAAAGATTTGTTTTTGAAACCTATTCTTTCTCAAATCTGTTGTGGTAGTATGCTGGTTGTGTTTAGGGTGGAAACGCTTATCTCCTGGTATTTTTTTCCCCCACAACAAAAATAAAGTGAGTTCATGTAATAAATGAACAAAGTAGCAACAGAATTAATATATATTTAATGATATGTACTAACAAAACAAGGGAATACATAGACAATAGAATATTGTTGCATGTTACAAAACAATGAACAAAAACAAAAAAAATCCACTAAGACTAGTGAATTGTTTGGTGTAGGAGAAAGTTCCAGAAAAAAATGAAGTGAAAGGTGTGCATGTGTGTTCACCAGTGGGAAAGCATTTTCCTTGTTTAGCCTACATCTTACCATCCCTGGGTGAAAAAGGGATGAGAATGTTCTTGCCTATGTCCCCTAGCATGTTTGTGTTTGTTTTTTTTTCCCCCTTCTCTAAGGAAAGTAAATGGGGTAACTCTGCAAATCCTTGCATTTTCTCACCTCTTCTTGCATATTAAAATGAAGTATAATTCTTTGCTTCTACAGCTCAGGTAGAAAAAGAACCTCCCACAGCTCTTCTTTGGACTTATTATTTCCTTGCTCAGCATTATGACTTTTTAAAACAAACAGACCAGGCGCTTAAGTATGTTGATGCTGCCTTGGAACATACTCCGCTCCTTATAGAGCTGCATGCTCTGAAAGCTAAGGTTTATAAGGTATGAACAGCTTTTGCCTATGCTTAAAATTGAATTAGTTTTTACATTATCAATTTTGTTTGAAATGGTTCTTTTAAAAAGAAAAAAAAAAAAAAAAATTTGAAATTTAACATTTTGATCAATATATCTATTTTAAGTGATCTTTAAAGATCAGCTGCTATACTTAAGTGATGTATACCTTATATTTCATTTATTTATTTATTTATTTTTTTTTTTTGTGGTAAATTTTGCTATAAGTTACATTTTCCTCAAACATTTCCTATATTTCCTCTATTTCTATCTAAAATTATATTTCCATTTCAATTCAGAATATCTTCATTTTTCTTTTAAAAGCAATATTAATGGAAAATCAAAAATATTTGCACTTAATACTATAGCTAAGCTATTTTTAATTTGTAAATTATAATGTATTATTGTAAAAATGATTTTTTTTTCTCTCCTGTTTAAGGCCCGCAATAAACAATATACATGTAAACATTGCCAAATTGATACAAATATTGTTTAAGGGATACAAAACTTAATTGAACTACTTTTTAAGCTAGAAAGTCTTTTGAATTTTCTAGGTAATGTCACTTACAGTGAAATTTCATTTTTCTAGCATGCGGGTGATATGGAGGAAGCTGTTCGGTGTATGGATGAAGCCCAATCGTTGGACACTGCTGATCGGTACATCAACTCTAAATGTGCCAAGTACATGTTAAGAGGCAACCTGATTCAAGAGGCCGCTGATATGTGTGCTAAATTCACTAGGGTGAGTTGTGTACGTGCCCAACATTCTCACTCTTCGTTTTCTATGCTTTTTAGCCTGCTTGCATTGATGTCTGTAAAGTGAATGTTGGCCAATGTTACTAGTTCACATGAACATTAGATGGGTTAAGCTATGCAAGAACTTGCACAAAATAGATATTAAAAATTTAAACTTTTTGTATATTTTTGGGTATTAAGTTTATATAGAGAATCTGGATGAATTAATACTTGAACAAGATTTGCTTTTTTGTGAGAGAATGTTCTCCTTAATTACAGATATTATAGAATGTAAAATATTTGAAGAAGTGATTAAATATTTTATATTAATCTTTTATGTCATAATGTTTTAAAGAAAAATTTAGTAAATGAAATTTTTTTTTTGCAAGTTTTTGACAAGCTTCTCCACCCACCTAGTTGATTAGGTTTTAGCAAATTTTGAGTGATGTTTTATAGTGACTACTAGATAATAATTCAGTGCATGTAATGTTATTGTCAAAAGTAACTTTACTGTATTTGTACTTTAAATCTTGTAAAATGTTAACTATATTTTAATGAAGAATGGTTTGATTGCACTTTTAATGCTTCATTTTGCAGTTTGCATCCTAGTTTTCTTGTTTTTGTTGAGTGTGCTTATTTTTTGTTTTAAGTTCTGTATTACTTTAGGAAGCATACTAACTTCCATTTGCGAAAATGTAATTGTTTATTATGTTACTAATGAAAATTTTATTTTTTTTTTAAATTACAAAAAAAAATAATTTTCATTGGTAATATAACTTTCACCTGTGTTGCATTCTTCAATTCTACTATTTTTGCAACTTAAAATTATTTTTGAAAGTCTTTGAATCATAAGTCTATTTTATTTCAAAAGTATTAATTTTCAACAAACCAATGATACACAAATTCATTACTGTTCCAAATAAAAGAAACATCATTTGACTTCAACAGCAACAATTATAATGAATAACACATGTAACTTTAAGAGAAAATCATCAAGATGTTGACATTCTATGCTACTTTAAACAAGAGTAGAAATAGGTATCCTAAACTAAAATTCTGTTTTCAATATATCTAAAAACCTTTAATACAAGCATAGAGCTTCACAAAACATAAAAAATTGTACCAGATTTATTTTGGTAGTTCAATTAGCAAGCAACCAATTTAGGACCATTCAAAGTTCATCAGTTTTCCATCTTCAGTGTCTTTGGACCAGAAACCAGTCTCAACAATGTATAAGTAAAGATACTGGTTGCAGACATTAAAAATCATTATAAATGTAATGTCATATAGGTAGTCTTCAGATAACTTAAATCTTCCATAATGGCTTAAAGAGAAAAAAATAATTACAAAATATATATTTTTGTAAGTGTAACAGTTAATCCCTAGAATTAGTAAGCAATCATTAAAAAAAAAAAAAATTGAAAATTATTAATTGCAATATTTTTTTTACAAACCCTTTACATGTACCAAAGTTAAGCTAAAACATATACACAAATCATTCTTTATTTTATGAAATATATCCAGTTTCATGTTTTAACGGAAAATGTAAATAAATTTTCAAGTAAATCTCTCAATTCTGAGAATTTGAGAAAATATTGCTACTCACAAATGTAAATAAAATTAATGACCATTAAAAGGAAAACTGGATGCTTTTTAAAAATTGTATTTTTTTTTTTTTTTTTTTTTGAGAAATTTCATAAACTGTCATTTGATCTGACATTCTTTATCGTTCATCCACAAAGCATCTGGTTAGCAGAAGTCTGAATTACTGTTTGTAAACATACACTGTCAATGATTTTTCTCGATCGATCATATTTGTTAACCAGACGCTTGGTGGCTGAATGTTTAGCAGCATATCAGATCAAGTGAAGGTTTCCATTAGGGTTACGGGTTTGTCTTCTATCAGAGAGTGCCTATTTTCTACGAAATTTCTTGACTATTCTGGTCAGTAAATGTAATTAATACCTTTTTAATTAATAAATGGAGCATTTACTTGAATAAATTAAAAAAAACAAAATAGAAAATACATTAAATAATTGTTGGATTTAATCCATTTTATAATGTTATTGTTTACGTTAAGCTGTTTCCTGAGCAGATATGGTCAATTGAGAAAAATCATTGAAGGTTTGTTTATAAACAGTAATTCGGGCTTTGCTAACCAGATGTTTCTTTGTGGCTGAATGGTTAACAGCACTTCAGACTAAATGACGGTTCCCATTAGAGTTACAGGTTTGATTCCTGTCAGAGAGCACATATTTTCTATCAATTTTCTTGAATATTCAGGCCAGTAAATGTAATTAATACTTTTTATTTTATATAAATTCTGTTTAATAATTTTTTTTTTTTTTTTTGTTTAAGTGCATATAAACAACAGCCAAGGTGAAAGTGATTTGATTGTGACAGTTTGGACAAAATACAATGAATAAGTACTTTATACAGTTTTAAAATGCACCATTATAGAAAATATAAGAAAGATTTAAACTGTAATATCCATCAATGAAACAACTCTGATTTAAAATGGAGTTCAGTTGGTGGTGTTCATTAACTCTGTCAGCAATACAAATTTCAATGCATAAGACCAAATAGTTTTGCATGAAAATGAACACAATATGCCCTCTTTTTGATTTGTGTATGCCTTGAGCTATATGGGTACAAATATGAAACCAACTGATTATTAAAGATGAGACATTGCTTTACAAGAAGGTGCTTTTTTTTTTTTTTTTTTTTTTTTTTTTTTTTTTTTTTTTTTCTGAGACAACTTCAAAGCCCATCAAATTGACAAGCATCCTTAAGATGGGATTATTATTTTGGTATGTGTAGGAGACACAACTTGAAGCACAACAAGTATTAACACCATTTATGTTGACTTTGAAAATCTGGAAAACAACTATCATTGAAATAGTGACATAATTTGAAGAGATGTGGAATAAAAACTAATTACACATGAGAAAGAATTTTATCTTTTTATAAAGAGAAAAGATTAAATTTTGTTTACATATCAATTTTATTAAAATAGCCGAGAAAATAAACTAGCGGTTGAAATGGAAGGAGATTTCACTATTTTTGACATGTCTTCACAGTGTAAACTAGAGCGATAACACTTAATAAACTTAAAGAAACTTATTTTCCTGAAAAATTCTCATATAATTCCTTTCAAAGCCCCTCCCAGTGTTTTTTTTTTTTTTTTTTTTTTTTTTTTAACCCTTAATTTATAACAAGACATTACTGAATCTAAATCATGTTACATAATATCTGAAGAAATTCTCATTCTCCCTGCTTTCAAATGAGACTTCCGAATTCATTTTAATTTTGTAGCATAAATGCATTTTGATTAAACTTATGCATTGGCCTAATTGTTTTCTGTAAGTTGCTGTGTGTAGATGTAATAATATTCTATATATTTTCAATAATGTTACTTAATGATAAAGTACTTGTAAAAATTGTAACCCTATGATGGTGAGAAAATTTTGTCTTGACTAATATAAAATAGTAGTTTTCATTTTCTTTTTTTCTTACCAGTAGCTATCTAATTCATATAAATTCAAATATTTAATTGAATATTACCTATTTGATGTAAATTTTTCAATACTTTCATCTTATCCTTCAAGATGACATTGTTTAAGTTACTTTTAAGCTTAGTTTCATTTAAAAATTTGTTTTACTTACATAGGATAATGAGTAAATGTAAATAGTAATTTTTTTTTTTTTTTTTCAACTGGTGTAAAAATTGTGCCATGTATGTATGTATGTATGAGAACTCTTATTTTACTGTTCAAATTTTATAACTGTGCTTCTTAATCATGGTAATATTGTTTTTATTTTTTTCTTATCTATTCATTAGGAAGGTGTATCAGCTATGGAAAATTTGAATGAGATGCAATGCATGTGGTTCCAGACTGAATGTGCTGCCGCCTATCAGAGGTTAGGGAAGTGGGGAGAGGCCTTGAAAAAATGCCATGAAATTGATCGGGTAGGTACATTATATTATTTTATTTTTCAACAGGCAATGAAATACTAAATAAATTAAATAATGGTGTAGCATCCATATATTTAGTATTTTAAATGTATACAATTTATTGAAATTGCTAAATTTACCAAATTTTTTCATGTATTTGTTTTATTTATTTTTTTGATAATTTTGTATTGCAGCATTTCACAGAAATCATTGAAGATCAGTTTGACTTTCATACTTACTGTATGAGGAAGATGACTTTGAGAGCTTATGTTGGTCTTTTACGATTAGAAGATGTCCTTAGGAATCATCCATTTTATTTTAAAACCGCTCATATAGCTATTGAAGTAAGTAAATTTATTTTCAATTAATTAGCTAGTATTAAAAAAAATAAATTTGTATAACACACATTATGTACAAATTGACTGTAATGTTTTTTGAATTGTATTTTATGATTTTGTTATTCTACTGGAATAACTTTCAGTTTAGGTTAACCATTTCTTAGGAGAGGGGATGGAAAAAGCTTGAATATTTCCAAACTTCCTTTTCATAGCTTGTATTTTTCTTGGTAGATAGTAATTTGTATATTGAATCTCTGTAACTATAATGGTTATTTTATTATTAGATAAGTTAGTTAACATTTGAATGATATTTATTAAAAGCAATCTAGGGTTTGTTACTGAAATGATATTAATTTTAATTCCATTTTTCCTTTACATTATAGTGAATTATTTTTGTGCATGTTTGCTTATTGGATTAAGCTAAAATTGTGTGACAGCTAAATTTTTTTTTTTTTTTTTTTTTTTAAACAGATATATTTGTATCTTTATGATCATCCACAATCTGAAATAGAAAAAGATAAATCTCTAGATACAGGTAAGTTGTATTTAAAGATTATTTAATATTTTGACATAAAATCATTTGCCTATGACCAAGAAAGAATTAAATCAGTTATTCTTGAAGTTCTAAGCTCATTTCCTGGATATGAAATTATTTTCTTGTAATATTTCTTAGTTTATCCGTTTAATGCTGTGGTTCTTTAGTTCTGTAATTTTGTGTGCTTAAATAATGATCATTTTATACTTTTGTCAGTATTCAACTAAAACAGTCTTGGCTTTTTAATACAAGTAATTTTAGTATTTTGTGTTATAGAAGTATTTTTTTATTAAGAGTACTTTTTTTTTTCTCTTTTTTTTCCCCTCTCTGGTGTAGAGGTGGAGAGCTTTTGAAATACATGGAGACCTTGTTTTGCACTAAAATATCTTGATAATGTTTTTAGAAAACCTCACACCTAGTGAACTGAAGAAACTGCGCAATAAACGGCGTAAAGCCCAGAAGAAAGCAGAGATGGAGAAAGAAAAACAACGAGCAGAAATGGAGAAGAAAGAACATCAGAATAAAAATAAAGGAACAGATGGGGAAATGGATGGCCCTAAGGAAGAGGAGTTGATTCCAGAAAAATTGGTCAAGGTAAAATATCAATGAAGTAAAGCCATGTAAAATATGGCTGGAGTTGATTTGAAAATGAGGCTGAGAATGTTGACTGCAAAAAGTGAAATGAACATTTACTTTCATTTACTGTTTTTCCATTTCTTAATTTACCATATTTGACAGCATAATAGACACTCTCATTTCAGTGCGCCATATTCAGAGAAATTTTCCATAATCAGTTGGTGTTTTATATACAGTGGATGCTTTTGCACTCAATAAACCCTTCCTTGGTAATAGCGATCTTATAATCTTGCAAAGCTGTCAATCTTTCATTTTCTACCATTCTGGCCTCATTATCATTTTGCCAGGAACATTTCTCCCTGAAATTTTTTGATCTATCTATTTTTTTTTTTCCTCATCCTCAAGTTCAATGCCAGTGTGAGACTGTACTAAAGTTGTATCTTTAGTTGATTGTATTGCTATTGCTAGACATTTATCATTTCACTTATTTTTCAATAGCTCTTACTGTTGCTATATTTCTATGCTCCTTACTATAGTCTACAAATTGTAATTTGTAATAAATAATGCAGCTATATTCTTGTGGTTAAAATTATGTAAATTCAGCCAACACTAGTGTTGCATCAACATGTATGAAGCAACACTTTTGAACACGCCCATCACATGTCACGGCTGTTTAAAATGATTATTTTTGTCATTTAGAAAAATCTAACATGGCGAGTAAATGAAATATTTGGCGAAAAATCCCATTTGTCAGTAACATTTTAAACACCTCATAGAATGTAAAGTTCTTGAAGCAAACTTGTGCCAAACTGTTTTCCTGAATCCTTTATGACTTGGCTGTCCAAAAACGACAACATCAAGATGAAATTATGGAAGCTGACCGTGAAAAACACAATTATGTGCAACAAGTTTTTGATCAATCAGTAAACTTCTAAACCTTTTTGGGCGACGTTATAGGATCCAGATGGCTATTGTTTGCACGTGGAATTATTCACTGCTAATTAATCTTTGATTTGGCTGTGAAAAATGTCACTCGGCGGCTTAAGAATAATTAAGAAATTATGACCAATTTTCTAAGAAAATCCCCCCACGTTATATTATTTTATTTTTTTTTTTTTTTTTAATGAAAAATATTTATTTTCACTTCAAAGTAATATCCTTCAAATTTCATCCCTTTCTCCTTAATTTGGTATGAACATCATTGAATAAAAGGAAGTGCTATCTGGCCCGGCAATGGGAAATACGAAAGACCTTGTGGCAAAAAAAAAAAATGTCGTCTGCTAAGTGTTGTCATCACCGTGTTAAAAACAAAACAAAACACATAAAGCCATTGTTCATCAAATATAGGTTTGAAAAAAAGAAAAAAAAAATACATCAAGCCCTACCAATGTTGACCCCCCCCTTCCTTTTTTTTTCCTCACTCTTTGATCTTATCTGGGAGTGGTAGCTTTTATTACAAGCTGACAACTTGTTCTAAATGTTTATTGCTAGGTGACCTTTGACCCAGACATTTCGAAGTCAATTTGGCTTAATTTTATTTTTGGTTTCTGGTGGTCAGGAATTGCAGATAAATCTTTCACCTTTTACTAAAGATTTCTGTGGCCGGGTGTCAATTTTTTAAACCCCTGGCAGTCATATAATTGAAAATTACCAATGGACTTTGTCGCATTTTGACCCCCAAGGAATGTCAATTTTATGTCTGAAATAGTTTGATTATGATTTAGGCTTTCTGATTTTTCAAAAAAAATGGTTAATTTCCCATTAATGGGGAAAGTTTTTGTTTAGAACTAGAAAAAAAATGCAAAATTTTCACTATTTTTTTTTTCACATTTTGCCCCCTGAAATAAAAATTTTGAGCCATTTACACCAGTCAATTTTACTTTTAAATGAAAGAATATATCCTTTGCTTTCAGAAAATACCTAGTTTGATGGGGTTCAGATCAAAAGTTTCTTTGATATTTGTTTAGATGATGATAAAACAGTCATTTTTCAATATTTTACCCCCTATAAAAGTATGAAAATCCATTTTTTTTTTTTTTTTTTTTTTTTTTTTTCAGAGAAAATAAGCTGTGACAAAAGGACTTTTGCCATTTTTGTGATGATTTTTACTTGGGATAGAAAATTTTTACCATAAACTTTAATTGACTTTATTTAAGTTCATTGGGGCTATAGGAAACCACAGACAGCTGTGATGTAAACACATTCACCAGTCATTTTTCTTAGACACTTTGTATGGTGGACTTATTTGTCTGTGGCTTTAATCTTGTTTCTCAGGTCAGTGTTTTATTATGACCAGTATCTTTAAACTTTAGAAATCAATCAATGGAAAAACACAGAAACAACAACGATAAAAATAAGAAAAATTCATTTTATACCATTTGATATTAAAAACTTTTAATCCCCCCAGTTAAAGAAATTGTTAAATGAATCAATGAGGTTTGAAGAAGGGTGGTCTTTGTGTACACTTATATGCTTCACTCAATTGGTTAGTATACAGCTAACAGTTTAGATATTTTTGAATGAGTTGTAAGTGATCCATACTCTAAAGTATTTGAAGTGTTTAGTATTTATTAATTCCAAATTCTGAATTTTTATGAAGGATTCAGGATACATGCAATCATTGTTTCTATGTTGGAAATGTTTATCTTGAGTCATACTTGGAATAATTGGTAAAGGATGTTGATCATTCTTATCCCAACTATGAATGCCTGTCATCAACATAGCCTTTCCTAGCATCATCCTCTGTACATTTGCTTCTAGAGAGGGGAAGTAGGAATGTTTTTTTTTTTTGTTTTTTTATTAGTAGATTCGAGATCTGATATAGAATATTTGTGATCAGTGTCCATCTTTTCACATCTGTGCTTGTATATGTGCAGAGCATAGTCTAAGAATAAATTTACTAGATTCATGCTCTCATTTTCTTCTTGCCATGTTCCAGATTTGGTTTGGGATGTTTTGCTATTGGGGTCGTCACCTGAAATGTATGACTTTGTGGACTAATATAGTACTTCTATCAGATCTAGACATTCAGTAGGTTCAGAGCTTGGAAGGCAATTTCTATTTTTAATATTGCAGAAAATCTATATTCTATAATAAAAATTTATGGATTAAAATTTAAGGAACCAAAAGGTGAATTTTGACATTTCACTGGGAGTGCATGATGGTGTGATGGCATGCAAAGTTGTAGGAATTTATACAATCAATAAACTAGCTACAATACTTAAAAATTCTATAGAATTATAGAGATGAACTATTAATATAAGGTAAGAAAAATTCTAAAAAGAAACTTAGGATTTACAATTGATTATATATAAAAAAAAAAAAAAAAAATGATTTTCTACTTAACTTTTAACTTAAATAATGGCACTTACAAAACAAAAATAGGAAAAATATATTCCTTTGACTAGCATTTCTTATGCCAAATATAAATTTGATAACTTAAAAATTCAGTAGCTATTTGACTGAACAGTGTTTACAAAACTTTGAAGTTAGCTGAAAGATAATGGAAATTTTATTAATTTACTGATACACACATGCAAATTTAAGTGTGTGTGTGTATTTATATACTACATTTTTCTGATGCATTGTTTTATGTATTAAGATTTTTTCTTTGTTTGTAATATTGTCAATATAGTTTTATTAAATAAAAACTTGTTTCTGTTTACTTGTTTTCAGACGAAGGATCAATTAGACCAGGCTGTGAAATTTTTGAAGCCCTTACAACAATTAGCACATGATAGAATAGAGACGCATTTATTAGCTTATGAAATTTATTCCCGAAAAGGTAACCAATTTTTAAGATATTGGTGTATTTGGAATTTATCATTTGTGTAAACACAGTTATGGATTTTTGTAAATTTGTGTACCTGTTATTTATACTATACATAATTATGGCTATAAAGCGAGATTTGTTTAATTTTGAATTTTCAATGTTTTACTGATATTTATAAAAATATGTCTGAAAATTATTTAAATAATTTTTTTTTTTATTTCAGGAAAGTTGTTATTAATGTTGCAGTCTATAAAACGGGGACATAAAGTAGATCCCAACCATTATCTTTTACATGTGTGCAAGATGAGGTTTCTTCAGATAGGTAAGTAAATATGCTTCTCTTCCAGTCAGTAGTCTTCATATTTGCTTTTTCTCTAAGGTACTTTTAAAAAACTTAAAATTTTTATTTTATCTTTGTAAACATCTCTAAAAAATTTTTCTAATAAATTTGTTCTTAATTGATTTGATAATTACTGGTTTATCTCATAACTTTTTGTCGTGGTATTTGGAGTAATTTTCCTTTTTTTTTTTAAAATCCATTAAAATGTGCATTGACTAATCTTGTGTGTTTTACATATATTTTAAAGTGTTTGTGTGGTTTTTTTTTTTTTGCTCTCATCTTCAGTTAAACATAAAACCAAATTGCCAGAATGTATACAGACTGTTCTTACTCGGGAAATGGAACCTATTTATGGTAACAAAGATGCAAAAACATTAAATGAAGAGTTTTTGAGCAAAAACAGCAAATCAATGCCTCATTTAGCCGCAGGTAAGGAAATTTGTAGAAATCAAACATTTTTTTTAAGTTAACTTTTAATGTTATAAAAAAATATTGCTGTTAAAAACAAAAAGCAAGGTTATTGTTTTTATTGAAACTTACATTTATGCATTAAAACTTTAATTCTACATTATTAATGTATAGAAATGATTTTGCTGTCTATCAGATTTGTGACATGAATGTTTAAAACTGTTTTGGTATACTATGTACTTAAATAATCCTAAATTACTGATTCTTAAACATAGACATATATGGATTTATGAATTGGCAAGACCATTGAAACCAGTTGGAAATCTTGTTCCACAAGAAGCTTATGTTCACTCAACAATTTTGTCTATTGTTACTACATCTGACTTGTGCACTGTCTTTTGGAACTGAGAAGTGGGTAAAGTGGTTCAATTTCTTGCCAGTTATTTAGAGAGTGATATGCTATGATAATTACTTTTCTTTTTTACTCTTGCACATTGGTTACATGTTTTGATATCAGTTCAACTTAAGAAATGACACTGAACTGCTCTCTTGTGAGAAGGAGACTGCCAACTTGAAATGGAAATTTTAACTGCATTAACTTTTACTTGGATTTTTTATTTATTTTTCCAAAGTATTGTTAGTTTTATTTTTTTATTTTAGGTGCTAGAATTATGTATGAACTTGATCCGTCAACTAAAGAAAAAGCTATTGCCTTGGCAACTTCATTGTCAAATGATCTGGAAGGATGTACTTTGCAGGTAAATGACTTTCTTTTTTGTTAAATTTAAACATTAATGACCTCATTCCAACAAGTGATCCAAAAATGGGAAACTCTTTTATGCTATAACACAGAAATTTTTGCTCATTTGCATTAAAATATTACGTGGCTTACATAATATACTGTTATGTATTCATCAGATGATTTGAGTAGTGATTTGTAATGAATTGTGCATTATTCTTGAATATAACATTAATAAGACTGGTATTCTAAGGAAGTCACTAATGTTAAATTTAAAGCAAAATGATAGATCTGCAGAATAAACCAATTGAAAAATTGTTTTCTATCACTTCATTTTGCCAATGATAAAGAAATAATTTGTTTGTGGTTTAAAATTAGTTAAAAATTTAGATGGTTTAATCTATATGATGAAAAATATTTTTTCTTCTTCAATACACATTTGGTAATTTTTCTTTGATCTAGCACTGCTGTGATGTACTGAAGGCAATGTGCCATGGTGAATTTGGCAAATTGGACCATGAAATACAAGACTACCAACGTCGATGTCATGCCAAATTTAAAGTTGCCTCAGCTTTTATTGTGCCAGTGTGCTCCTCATCACAGACCACTAGCGAACAGATTGTCACCAATGGAGCCCCATCATAAGGCAGCTCAGTGTCCTGTCCCTGCTGCTGCTGACGCCGCTGTCAAAACAACTGCCGCTGCTGCTGCCCATTCAAGCACCAACCAACCAACCAACCAACTTCTTAAACCTGCCCCACCCGCCTGCCAGTCAGTCAGCCAGCCAGCCAGCCAGTCAGCCAGCCAATCAGCCAGCCCAAACTCTTTCTCTTGGGATGGATCCTTACTACCACCACAGCTATCCATCAGTTTAACCTTTCACTACTATCTCTAACCTTGGAGATAAAAGGGTGGATTCAACAACTAGAGCAGTTCAACTTTCCTGAAGTTGACCATGCTATTATTGTCTATTTCTCTTGTTGGATGGCTCTTGGAAGTATAAAACAAGGAAGAAAAAAAAAAATCAAAAGGAGAAAAAAAAGATAAAAGTTGACTTTGACAAAAGGCAGGGATATGAGGACTGACTTTTAATTTATCCAGACTCCACTCTTTTGTGATAAAATCTAGAGCAGAAATTTTTTTCCTCTCTCTTGACTTTTGCTGATTGCCCAATTTTTGCCCACCAATTTAGTGTGTGGTGTGCTGGTAGCTAGTTTATTCCCTTTTTAGATTGCTTTCAATCCTTCTTTATCATGAAACAGAGAAGAAAAAACAAAAAAAAAAAATTATCACAAAAAAATACTCCCTTTCCTCAAAAAAACACAATCTCCCCTTTTCCAAAGATCCCATTCCCTGCCTCCCTTTAGAGATTGTATCTTTCCCTACTCTTTGTTGTTTTTCTTGTTTCTGTTTTAAATTTTTAAATAGATTTTTTGAGAACTGATACAAAACAACTCTTCCCTTTGAAAAAAGAAATTGAACAAAAATTCTCAGTTTGTTCTCAAGTTATATTTTATTGCCTTGAGACACTCAAAAATCAGTTTGTTGGTTGAGTCTTTTTTTCGAATAGCAGCTCTCAGCACAGTAAATATTTTACTGTCCTCCCATGATGCCTCAGTCACTTATAAAACTGCAAAAGAGAAAGAAGCAAAATAAATAAATAAAAGCTAAATAACAGATTCATACATCTGCTTTTCACTTGAGTTAAGGAAGAATAAATAACCTGAAACTCAGGCAGTCTCTCTCACTTTTCTTTTTTCCATCAACTGAAATGTCTGCCCATTAAGAGGAAGCTTACCTTCTACAACTACACTTTGACTGATACACTCCTATTAACCATATTTTTTCTTCCTTAGAATGAAATCCTACAACAAACTAAAAAAAATCCTTATGTGAAAATCCTGAACATGACAAGAATTTCAGCTTTGTTTTGTGAAAAGAAAGGAAACATTCTCCCCATCCCAATTAGAGCTTTGCTTTATTTTTTATTTTTTTATTTTTTTTTTTGTTTTGACATTATGGTGATACTTAGGAGACTTCTACATGCAATTATCACCACACTCACCCAATATATTAGCACAATGTTGAAAACTTTGTCCAAGAAATGAAAAAAATAATAAAATAAAACTTAAGATTTTTTTTTTTTTTTTTTTTTTTTTTTTGGGTGGGTGGGGAAGAAACAAAAAACAAACATTTTTTTAATAATCTATTCTCTAAAAGTTTGCAAAATATCTTTTACAATGCACATTCAATTCTGTCTAGGAATATTCCTACTTTGGAACTGGAGATGACTTCAGTTGTAAAGCAAATTTTTCAATGCATATTTTCTTTTTGTGAAGGAAAAAAAAAAGTTGTTCACAAATGCACTTTATATTTCTGTTTGTGAACACCTTGATATTGTGATATCTAACACATATATGAAAGAATGCATGTATGTATTAGATAGGTATTCTTCTCACATATATGCTGTTTTATGTCGGCAGGACATAATTTGAACTCTACCTGCATCACCTCCCAGTCCTTGTGTTGAAAGCAACAGGTGATCTAAATATCAACCTTATAGAAAAACCTTTGGTTTTAAAAAAAAAACAAAAAAAAACAAAATGCATCTGGAAGACTGAACCTGTAGATCAATTTCTTTAATCCCTCCTTCAAGTAAGAAAACAAAAGGCCAACCAATTTTGTTTTGAATGGCAAGCATTTAAGAAAAAAAATAATACTTGAATGATACACAAGAGAGAACAGACTTGTTCTGTATATATATGAATGTGTGCAAGTGAATCTTTTTTTTTTTTTTTTCCTCTTGTTGCTGGTGAAGGGTGGGTTATGTCTGTAGAGAACATGGACAGTCATTGGAGACACAGGATAAGCTTTCCCTGTTTTGTTTTTCAGCTCTAATCAGCTTCTCCTAAATCTCTGCATCTGACCTCACATTATTCTGCAAATCTTGAACAACTCCATTTTTAATTTTTTTTTTTCTCTTTCTTTTTAGTTTTTAATATCCCACCATCACCAAATTGGCCACCTTCCTTTAAACAAGCCACAGTTCGTTTAGGAAGAGACAACAATAAACATTCAATTGTTAAATCATCTAAGGGAGAGAGAGAAAAAAAGGGGAAACTAATAAACTCAATACAAACAAGACACTGCATACTGTAAGAACCAGTGGACTGTCCATAAAGTTGAACTTTTTCAAAATCTTTCTTTGAGGTGTACCAACTGTTTGCTATAAAACACTGACTGGAATAGCATTTTCTTTTATGTTGGCTTTTTCCTTTCTTCAATCCGTTTGTCTTTTCTTTAAAAAAAAAAAAAAAAAAGAAAAAAATGTGGTGATTTCAATATATTCTGCCTAAATGACTACATTCTTCCATTTCTATATTTTATTATTCCAGGGACTACTTATGGGTGATACTCTCTATTCAAAGATATTTTCCTAATTGTTCAAAATCATCCCCCACTCCCAAATCAACAAATCAGAACTTGAATAAAAATTTTTCTCTTCCCTTTTTTTTTTTTTTTTTTTTTTCCTTTTCTCCTCCACCCCTTGCTGCCCAACAATATCTGATGCATATATTTTTTAGTTTTTCAGGGTGGTAGTTGCACTTTCCATTATATATATATATATATATATATATATATATATATATATATATATATATATTATATATATTTTTAAATTATTGTTAAAGGAACTGATAAATTTTTTTTTTTTTTTTTTTTTTTTCTTTAACATTGCAAGCAAAACTGGTAAATTACTCTATGGGCTTGACCGGTTAAGATGATACCGAATTAGACCTTGTTTTCTACATTAGAAATAATTGTTCTGAAATCTGTTTTTTACAAATATTTTTCATGTTATTTCTAATTCTTGCTTTAACATAGTTTATTCATCTTTAAATTAAGTTTTAAAAATTTAGAAACTTGACTTTTTTTTTTTTTTTTTTTTTTTTTTAGTAGGAGGGTGGAGATTTAGATAAAATTTTGTGGGGAAAATGAAAAGTTTGTACACTGGATTATGGTATGTAAAAAAGATTTCACTAAATGTTTGAATTAAATCTTCACAGGTGACGTGTGTGTGTGTTTTTTTAGGCGGCCTAGTTCTTTGTTTGAACAAGTTAATATTTTTAGAAAATGCCATCGGCAACAGCTTGAACATTTCTGTCAGTGATTTTGATCAGATGTTAAAAATGTCTTTGCGGAGTTGAGTATTTTCTTTCAAATGGCTCTCATTGACACTGAACATTTGATATTTTATGTAGCTAATGCCTTTTTAAAGTTTTATAATGCATATATTTTGTGTACCGATGGATTCTCAATTATGAAATTTGTTTACAAGCAAGCACTGAACTTGATATTTGAGAAATAGTTATATTTGAACCTGTGCATTTGATATGAACTGTTTGTTTACTCACAGGCTTAGTAATATTTTCAGTTTGTTCTATAAAAAGGAGTGTCTGTTGGTCTTTTTTTTTTTTTTTTTCTTTTTTTTTATGAGAAAAGATTCATTCTGCCCATCCAAAAACATTTCATAATGAATTTTTGAAATCTAGATTTCATGATCTTTAGTTTGAACATTTTTTTTTTTTTTCCCTTTTAAGTTTTCATATTTTTCTTTTCTTCTTTAATGCTATAGAGTTTAAGTAATTAAATAAGTAGGCATCTCCTAAATTTACAGTAAATAAATTGGCTTGCTTGCTTGTTACACTTTAAGATTTTGACTTGATAATATTTACTATTTTTTATTTTTTTTTTTTAATGAACAAGTATTATCTGAATTCAGTCCCCTCTCTCTGCTTATTTCAATTCATTGCCTAGCATTAATTACTATGTATGTTATGTAAATTTGTCAAGGATTTGTTAATTGTTAAGAAATGGAAGCCAGTTTCTTAGGCTGCCTTTTTGTATGAAGACACCTTTGCAACTTCAGGGACATACTCTTATGTGCTGCCAACATCAAGAGTAATAATTAGGTACTGTCAGTTGAAATCTTAAGACACAACAAAATAAATTTACTTTTAAAATATTTTCTTGTGTATCTACTATTGTCAGATATTTTAAGCCATTTATTTATTTATCTTTTTTTTGTGTTTAAATAGAAAATTCTTGAACTTTGGAAAAATGTTGGATGGTTTTGAGAATTTTCTTTTTTTTTTTTTTTTTTTTTTTTTTACTCTCAAAAGTAAATTTCATTAATTTAAAGTTTTCCTTTTCAGTTTTGAGGGGTGCTGGGAAAGTAACTCTTTTTTCTCTCTCTCTCCATACCATCATTTAACAACTTTTGAATTTACCAAGTTTTTTACTTACTTAGTAAATACTTACACTTGGCAGTTTTGCTGTGGCCTTGTAAACATTGCTGTATTGAAAGGGCAAGCAAGTCGCTCTCTTTTTTTATTTTTGTTTAATTTTTATTTTTTTTTAGTTTCATTTCCACACTTACAGATTAAAACAAAAAAAAAAATGTATTAAAATTGTATAAAAAAAATCAACTTCAAGCTCGTTATTGAGTTGTCTTTTTTTAAATTTTTATTATTACTTTTACTTCCATGATTGCATATTGTACCAATTAAACAAATTAAGTGTTAAACTTGTTAATACTGCTTTACAGTAATTGATAGTTTTTCTTAAAAGAAGAAATAGAAGAA